AAACATTTTAAGAAAAAGTTAAAGGTAAGTGAAAAAAGTAAATAAAGTAAAGAATAAAAATATGCTTTGAAAGTATAGAAAAAGAAAGACAATTTCTAAAAAATATAATAAGTAAATGATAATTACATTTCCCTGATGTGCTTTTTGCCTCGACTGGGTCGAAATTATTGGAATGGAATTTGCTGGTCTGGTCTCTTGATGACCTTGAAGTCCTGTTGTTCTTCACTATTCATATGTTCGAAGATGTTGCTGGTTTCGATGACCATCACTGAGTGGTCTTGCTAACTAAAAGAAAAAATTATCTGAATTAAATTACTGTTCAGTAAAAGAATTAAGTATTAATGTAATGGAAAAAGATTTGTTATATATTTAAAGAAAGCAAATAAAAAGAAAATTAAGATCCAAATGTAGACATAATAAATTAAATGAACGAAAAGTTTCCTGAAAAACTACTAAAATCTAAAGATCTGTATGAAGTTCAACTAATTCAAAAGAAAGAAAATAACTAAAAAACTAAAACAAATAATGTTAGAAAGTAAAAACTATAAGGAAAAGTTGATGATAAATGAAAAATTAAATAAATGAAAAGAAAATAAAAATTCAAATGAAGATACAATAAAATGAATGAAAAGTTTAATGAAAAACTACTAAAAGCTAAAGATTTGACTGAAGTTAAACTAAATCAAAAGAATGAAAAGTTTTGAATTAATACAAATTAAAAAAGAAAAACAAATAATGTTAGAAAGTAAAAATTCTAAGGAAAAGTTAATTGTAAGTGAAAAACTAAATAAGATAGGTAAAGGATAAGAAAATAAGCTTTGAAAGTGTAGAAAAAGGAAAAAAGAAAAGCAATTTCTGAATAATATAACAAATTTATTAAATAAGTGTTACCATTTACCTTCGATGCTTCTTGTTTTGTCAGGGTCGAAATTATTGGGATGGATTTTTCTGTTTGATCCCCCGAAATCCTGGTTGTCCTGATGTTCTCCAGTGATCATAATGTGCTAACACGTTGTTGGTTTCAATGTCCATCACAGAGTGTTTCTAGTAACTATAAATGGAAGAAAATCTCTGAATTAAATTATTGTTTAGTATAAAAATTAAGTTTTAATGTAAATGAAAATGATTTATTATATATTATAGTATTTAAAGAAAGCCTAAATGTAATTATAATAAAATAAAGATTCAAACGTAGAAACAATAAATTAAATAAAAGTAAAGCTTTATTAAAAACTACTACAAAATTGAATATTGAAATTACCGTTTACCTTATGTGTTTCTTGCTTGCACTGGGTAGAAATTATTGGACTGAATTTCCCTGATCTGAACCCCTAATTTCTTGGTAGCCCTGTTGTTCTTCGCTGATGATATGTCCTAACTTGTTCTTGGCTTTGACGATGACAAAGTAGTCCTACAAACTAAAAGAAAAATGGTTTGAATTAAATTACTGTTTAGTAAGACTTAATATAAAAGAAACGTAATTATTTAATAAATAATTTCGAAAATAGATACTGAAACTTCTTTTCTATTCATTTAAACTTTTAGATAAGGACCATGGAACTAATTTTATTAGTCAAAGCAGTTTTTCTCAATTAATAAAAGTAGTCACTTACCAATTAGTTGCTGTTCGCTCTTTCTCTGTTAATAGAAAACAATTTTTTCTGTATCCAATGGGAAAAGGCCCTTTCAAACGATATATTATGTTATGGAGAAAAACAGGACTGCTCCGATCCATGCCTCACAGCATACAGTGGTACAATATTCCTGTAGGATGAAAGAAAAATAAATAAAAAGAAAGGAACATACTGATAAAGTTAAACAAACAAAAACAAACGCTTCGAAAAAAGGTAAATAATAAACAGAAAAGTTGCTTCAGGACTACTTTAAAGTACAAACGATTGAAGTCCCAAAATTTGGAAAAAGGCTAATATATAATAACAGTGTAAGAAGTTTCTGGGTGCGGTTAGAAATTATGAAAACTAATTTTTAAATGAGAAACAATAAAAAAACCCTACGTATCCTGTTTTTACTAATAAGATACTATGCAACTTCACATACAGTAACCGTGTTGCCTATACATACTAAACATAAAAGCTTCAAAATTTCAAAAATTAAACCGCAAAATTAAATTTTCCACCATTTTACATTCACAAATTTTATGTAAAAATATCTAAAGAATATAGTAGTTGTAACAGTTTTTGAATGCAGTTTAAATTAAAGACAATTTAATTGATATAATGTAAAAATTACGTAAAAATTCTAAATATTAAAAAGCGCATGTAAATTTCAGACCTCTAAAACACTTATACTGAATGTTCAAAAACGTGAAATATACATGAAAACAATTCAAGAATCAAGCAGTGCCAACAGTTTTTAAATGTAACTTGATTATATGTGAGGAATCACGTGGTGCAAACAGTTTTTTAATACAATTTCATTTAAATAATATTTAATTGACACAATACGAAAATTACGTAAAAATGGTAAACATAAAAAAGCGCACATCAATTTTCGATCTGCTAAACAATCATTCTGAAAGATCCAATAGGTGAAATTCATGTGAAAATATGTGAGGAATCACGTGGTGCCAACAGTTTTTCAATACAATTTCATTTAAAGAATATTTAATTGACACAATACGAAAATTACGTAAAAATGGTAAACATAAAAAAGCGCACATCAATTTTCGATCTGCTAAACAATCATTCTGAAAGATCCAATAGGTGAAATTCATGTGAAAATATGTGAGGAATCACGTGGTGCCAACAGTTTTTCAATACAATTTCATTTAAAGAATATTTAATTGACACAATACGAAAATTACGTAAAAATGGTAAACATAAAAAAGCGCACATCAATTTTCGATCTGCTAAACAATCATTCTGAAAGATCCAATAGGTGAAATTCATGTGAAAATATGTGAGGAATCACGTGGTGCCAACAGTTTTTCAATACAATTTCATTTAAAGAATATTTAATTGACACAATACGAAAATTACGTAAAAATGGTAAACATAAAAAAGCGCACATCAATTTTCGATCTGCTAAACAATCATTCTGAAAGATCCAATAGGTGAAATTCATGTGAAAATATGTGAGGAATCACGTGGTGCCAACAGTTTTTCAATACAATTTCATTTAAAGAATATTTAATTGACACAATACGAAAATTACGTAAAAATGGTAAACATAAAAAAGCGCACATCAATTTTCGATCTGCTAAACAATCATTCTGAAAGATCCAATAGGTGAAATTCATGTGAAAATATGTGAGGAATCACGTGGTGCCAACAGTTTTTCAATACAATTTCATTTAAAGAATATTTAATTGACACAATACGAAAATTACGTAAAAATGGTAAACATAAAAAAGCGCACATCAATTTTCGATCTGCTAAACAATCATTCTGAAAGATCCAATAGGTGAAATTCATGTGAAAATATGTGAGGAATCACGTGGTGCCAACAGTTTTTCAATACAATTTCATTTAAAGAATATTTAATTGACACAATACGAAAATTACGTAAAAATGGTAAACATAAAAAAGCGCACATCAATTTTCGATCTGCTAAACAATCATTCTGAAAGATCCAATAGGTGAAATTCATGTGAAAATATGTGAGGAATCACGTGGTGCCAACAGTTTTTCAATACAATTTCATTTAAAGAATATTTAATTGACACAATACGAAAATTACGTAAAAATGGTAAACATAAAAAAGCGCACATCAATTTTCGATCTGCTAAACAATCATTCTGAAAGATCCAATAGGTGAAATTCATGTGAAAATATGTGAGGAATCACGTGGTGCCAACAGTTTTTCAATACAATTTCATTTAAAGAATATTTAATTGACACAATACGAAAATTACGTAAAAATGGTAAACATAAAAAAGCGCACATCAATTTTCGATCTGCTAAACAATCATTCTGAAAGATCCAATAGGTGAAATTCATGTGAAAATATGTGAGGAATCACGTGGTGCCAACAGTTTTTCAATACAATTTCATTTAAAGAATATTTAATTGACACAATACGAAAATTACGTAAAAATGGTAAACATAAAAAAGCGCACATCAATTTTCGATCTGCTAAACAATCATTCTGAAAGATCCAATAGGTGAAATTCATGTGAAAATATGTGAGGAATCACGTGGTGCCAACAGTTTTTCAATACAATTTCATTTAAAGAATATTTAATTGACACAATACGAAAATTACGTAAAAATGGTAAACATAAAAAAGCGCACATCAATTTTCGATCTGCTAAACAATCATTCTGAAAGATCCAATAGGTGAAATTCATGTGAAAATATGTGAGGAATCACGTGGTGCCAACAGTTTTTCAATACAATTTCATTTAAAGAATATTTAATTGACACAATACGAAAATTACGTAAAAATGGTAAACATAAAAAAGCGCACATCAATTTTCGATCTGCTAAACAATCATTCTGAAAGATCCAATAGGTGAAATTCATGTGAAAATATGTGAGGAATCACGTGGTGCCAACAGTTTTTCAATACAATTTCATTTAAAGAATATTTAATTGACACAATACGAAAATTACGTAAAAATGGTAAACATAAAAAAGCGCACATCAATTTTCGATCTGCTAAACAATCATTCTGAAAGATCCAATAGGTGAAATTCATGTGAAAATATGTGAGGAATCACGTGGTGCCAACAGTTTTTCAATACAATTTCATTTAAAGAATATTTAATTGACACAATACGAAAATTACGTAAAAATGGTAAACATAAAAAAGCGCACATCAATTTTCGATCTGCTAAACAATCATTCTGAAAGATCCAATAGGTGAAATTCATGTGAAAATATGTGAGGAATCACGTGGTGCCAACAGTTTTTCAATACAATTTCATTTAAAGAATATTTAATTGACACAATACGAAAATTACGTAAAAATGGTAAACATAAAAAAGCGCACATCAATTTTCGATCTGCTAAACAATCATTCTGAAAGATCCAATAGGTGAAATTCATGTGAAAATATGTGAGGAATCACGTGGTGCCAACAGTTTTTCAATACAATTTCATTTAAAGAATATTTAATTGACACAATACGAAAATTACGTAAAAATGGTAAACATAAAAAAGCGCACATCAATTTTCGATCTGCTAAACAATCATTCTGAAAGATCCAATAGGTGAAATTCATGTGAAAATATGTGAGGAATCACGTGGTGCCAACAGTTTTTCAATACAATTTCATTTAAAGAATATTTAATTGACACAATACGAAAATTACGTAAAAATGGTAAACATAAAAAAGCGCACATCAATTTTCGATCTGCTAAACAATCATTCTGAAAGATCCAATAGGTGAAATTCATGTGAAAATATGTGAGGAATCACGTGGTGCCAACAGTTTTTCAATACAATTTCATTTAAAGAATATTTAATTGACACAATACGAAAATTACGTAAAAATGGTAAACATAAAAAAGCGCACATCAATTTTCGATCTGCTAAACAATCATTCTGAAAGATCCAATAGGTGAAATTCATGTGAAAATATGTGAGGAATNATAAAAAAATATCAAAAGAACTAATTACTCCCTCGATTATTGTAAAACTTTCAATGAAGGAATGGCATTCAGCTGTGATAAGAATGTAAAATATTGTCTATTTCTGAAAAAAGACCATTTTATTTATAACTCCTTGGAAATGGATAATCTAAAATATTAAATCGATATTGTTTTTCGTGTTCAATGTAATGGTCCATGGAATTTTAAAGTTCCAGATTGATACCAACACCTGCCAAATCACCACTTATTATACCTTTAGTAAGGAACTACGAAATTCTATGAATTACGACAAAACAGCCCGCAAAACAATATCGAATTGATATACGCCAGCTGTGTAAAACTGAAAACTACAAACAAAAACGATTTGAAAAGCTTCACTTATTAGATGAACCCAAAGCTAAAGAAACTATGAATTTCATTTCTTTCTCTTATTACAATGTGTAAAAGATCGGAAGCAAAATCAAGTTGCAAATATTTTAATATAAAATGATTGATGTTGATTTTACATCAATAAAATTATTTGCAATTATTTTGATCTGATCTTTCATGCTAAACAAAATATTTGGGCATCAGTGTCTTTTTTCCAATTAAAACGGGTGACAAAGGCAAATAAAGGAGGCATTTAGAAGAATTATTTGTTACTGAACTGAAGAAACTATAACATAAAGATAGAAAAACTATATCTCAATTACTTCAACAGAATGAATCATACTTAATCTTTGCAACTGGTGATATAGTGTAAACACCACTATTAATCTAGAAACACTCCAATATTTAAAAAATTGGCAAATGCCTGCAAGGTTTTCTTAAAAAGTATTCTATACTTAAGTAAATGTAGAAAATAAATACTACAAAAAAGTATTTATTTGAAAAAATTATTTTGAATATTCGTATTGGGCATTTAGTACTTAAAAGACAAAGTATAGAATAACTTCAGAAAAGACNATTAAAAATAATTTCGGACAGACAAAGTTGCAGATGAAGGCCAATAATTTGTAGATAAATTGTTTTAACTAATTAAATGCTTGAATGAAAAAGCATTTCTGTTATGTTTTTATCAACTGCTTCTATAGCAACAAGAAACTTAGGTGTTTTACTACATATTTCCTATCTATCGACAGAAAGGACTAATGGAGGATGTGCGAAAAGTTTTGAAAAAATACGATAATCAGGAAAAACAAATCGACGAAGAACTTGCTATAACGTAATTTAATTATTACATTAGTTTTTAATAAACGATTTAAATGTATGTACCTACAACTGTAGAATTCAAGGTGCCTCAGGGGATAATTCCAACAAAACACATAGAAGGGATAATCTCCCAACAACAGAAGAAGCCAAGACAAGAAATAAGGGAATTATAATGGTTAGTGCTCAATTTTTTAAAGTTAAAAACTTTTTTTTTGTATATATGCAGCTTACTTTAAGAATATAACATATGCATTTAACTTCCAGGAACTTGAATCCATAAAAGGCAATTTACGATCAAAGGCGATATTTAGTCCCATTTGTTCAGAAAAGACTGCAGAATCTTTTGATGATAATAGTTTTTCAGGTAGTGATAAAATAAGCGACATACGTTATCAATATTAATAAATACACCTAAAACTGTATACGCATAAAAAAGCGCACCTAACATTTCAAAAAATTAAAATTGCAATTTTAACACTTTAAAAGTATGGAATATATTCAGAAAAATGTGCAGATTCTTCTGGTGAAAATAGTTATTCAATGGATTGTAAAAGTAAATGTATAGATTTGTGATGTATGATATATTTATGTAATTTTTGTTTAAATCTTTTCTACCAGCAGCCAGTCTCTCTTAGAAATGTTCTCTAGACCGATCATTAATCTAGTATAAGAATATCAAAATAAATTGGGACTATAATTTTATGGAGATTAGTCGACAAATATTACACTACATCAATAAATTATAGAAATAAATTGTACCTCGGTTGAATGCATTTTAATTTCTTAGTGCTGAATCATGGACTTCTTTCTTGCGTATTCAGTGGTATCCACACGCAACAATCTTTACCGCACGATACCTCACAACTAATGAATTGTCTTTGTTTTCGAACAAATTCGTTAAACACGAAGTTAAAAGATAATTAATCGGATACATATCGCTTTGTTTCTGATGACAATGATATAACCTTGATTACAAATAATAACGTATACACTGGCGGATTCTTCCATCTCTATGTAAAAAAGAAATTAAAAATTGAACGAGAATATTTCGAGCCGAAATAAATCAACCGATTGTTTTTTACTATAAAAAAAAATGTAATTTTCTTCAATTAACATTAAAGGCACTTTTAGAATAATTGGTTTGGCAAAAAATTAATATCTTTTACAATATTTAAGTATCTACTAATTAATAAAACTTATCTTCCTCGCAATCAGCCAAGGTTAACAGAATTTTTACNTGCACTCTTATTGGGTGACCGCTTTAATCAGCCAATTAGAGCACGAATAATCCACTTTTCTAGTAGAAGTAGGCTTTAGTTATATGATTCAGTTGTTGGTATCGATTAGCCTACTTCTAGCGTCTACTTGCAGCAAAGCAGGTGCACTCTTATTGGGTGACCGCTTTAATCAGCCAATTAGAGCACGAATAATCCACTTTTCTAGTAGAAGTAGGCTTTAGTTATATGATTCAGTTGTTGGTATCGATTAGCCTACTTCTAGCGTCTACTTGCAGCAAAGCAGGTGCACTCTTATTGGGTGACCGCTTTAATCAGCCAATTAGAGCACGAATAATCCACTTTTCTAGTAGAAGTAGGCTTTAGTTATATGATTCAGTTGTTGGTATCGATTAGCCTACTTCTAGCGTCTACTTGCAGCAAAGCAGGTGCACTCTTATTGGGTGACCGCTTTAATCAGCCAATTAGAGCACGAATAATCCACTTTTCTAGTAGAAGTAGGCTTTAGTTATATGATTCAGTTGTTGGTATCGATTAGCCTACTTCTAGCGTCTACTTGCAGCAAAGCAGGTGCACTCTTATTGGGTGACCGCTTTAATCAGCCAATTAGAGCACGAATAATCCACTTTTCTAGTAGAAGTAGGCTTTAGTTATATGATTCAGTTGTTGGTATCGATTAGCCTACTTCTAGCGTCTACTTGCAGCAAAGCAGGTGCACTCTTATTGGGTGACCGCTTTAATCAGCCAATTAGAGCACGAATAATCCACTTTTCTAGTAGAAGTAGGCTTTAGTTATATGATTCAGTTGTTGGTATCGATTAGCCTACTTCTAGCGTCTACTTGCAGCAAAGCAGGTGCACTCTTATTGGGTGACCGCTTTAATCAGCCAATTAGAGCACGAATAATCCACTTTTCTAGTAGAAGTAGGCTTTAGTTATATGATTCAGTTGTTGGTATCGATTAGCCTACTTCTAGCGTCTACTTGCAGCAAAGCAGGTGCACTCTTATTGGGTGACCGCTTTAATCAGCCAATTAGAGCACGAATAATCCACTTTTCTAGTAGAAGTAGGCTTTAGTTATATGATTCAGTTGTTGGTATCGATTAGCCTACTTCTAGCGTCTACTTGCAGCAAAGCAGGTGCACTCTTATTGGGTGACCGCTTTAATCAGCCAATTAGAGCACGAATAATCCACTTTTCTAGTAGAAGTAGGCTTTAGTTATATGATTCAGTTGTTGGTATCGATTAGCCTACTTCTAGCGTCTACTTGCAGCAAAGCAGGTGCACTCTTATTGGGTGACCGCTTTAATCAGCCAATTAGAGCACGAATAATCCACTTTTCTAGTAGAAGTAGGCTTTAGTTATATGATTCAGTTGTTGGTATCGATTAGCCTACTTCTAGCGTCTACTTGCAGCAAAGCAGGTGCACTCTTATTGGGTGACCGCTTTAATCAGCCAATTAGAGCACGAATAATCCACTTTTCTAGTAGAAGTAGGCTTTAGTTATATGATTCAGTTGTTGGTATCGATTAGCCTACTTCTAGCGTCTACTTGCAGCAAAGCAGGTGCACTCTTATTGGGTGACCGCTTTAATCAGCCAATTAGAGCACGAATAATCCACTTTTCTAGTAGAAGTAGGCTTTAGTTATATGATTCAGTTGTTGGTATCGATTAGCCTACTTCTAGCGTCTACTTGCAGCAAAGCAGGTGCACTCTTATTGGGTGACCGCTTTAATCAGCCAATTAGAGCACGAATAATCCACTTTTCTAGTAGAAGTAGGCTTTAGTTATATGATTCAGTTGTTGGTATCGATTAGCCTACTTCTAGCGTCTACTTGCAGCAAAGCAGGTGCACTCTTATTGGGTGACCGCTTTAATCAGCCAATTAGAGCACGAATAATCCACTTTTCTAGTAGAAGTAGGCTTTAGTTATATGATTCAGTTGTTGGTATCGATTAGCCTACTTCTAGCGTCTACTTGCAGCAAAGCAGGTGCACTCTTATTGGGTGACCGCTTTAATCAGCCAATTAGAGCACGAATAATCCACTTTTCTAGTAGAAGTAGGCTTTAGTTATATGATTCAGTTGTTGGTATCGATTAGCCTACTTCTAGCGTCTACTTGCAGCAAAGCAGGTGCACTCTTATTGGGTGACCGCTTTAATCAGCCAATTAGAGCACGAATAATCCACTTTTCTAGTAGAAGTAGGCTTTAGTTATATGATTCAGTTGTTGGTATCGATTAGCCTACTTCTAGCGTCTACTTGCAGCAAAGCAGGTGCACTCTTATTGGGTGACCGCTTTAATCAGCCAATTAGAGCACGAATAATCCACTTTTCTAGTAGAAGTAGGCTTTAGTTATATGATTCAGTTGTTGGTATCGATTAGCCTACTTCTAGCGTCTACTTGCAGCAAAGCAGGTGCACTCTTATTGGGTGACCGCTTTAATCAGCCAATTAGAGCACGAATAATCCACTTTTCTAGTAGAAGTAGGCTTTAGTTATATGATTCAGTTGTTGGTATCGATTAGCCTACTTCTAGCGTCTACTTGCAGCAAAGCAGGTGCACTCTTATTGGGTGACCGCTTTAATCAGCCAATTAGAGCACGAATAATCCACTTTTCTAGTAGAAGTAGGCTTTAGTTATATGATTCAGTTGTTGGTATCGATTAGCCTACTTCTAGCGTCTACTTGCAGCAAAGCAGGTGCACTCTTATTGGGTGACCGCTTTAATCAGCCAATTAGAGCACGAATAATCCACTTTTCTAGTAGAAGTAGGCTTTAGTTATATGATTCAGTTGTTGGTATCGATTAGCCTACTTCTAGCGTCTACTTGCAGCAAAGCAGGTGCACTCTTATTGGGTGACCGCTTTAATCAGCCAATTAGAGCACGAATAATCCACTTTTCTAGTAGAAGTAGGCTTTAGTTATATGATTCAGTTGTTGGTATCGATTAGCCTACTTCTAGCGTCTACTTGCAGCAAAGCAGGTGCACTCTTATTGGGTGACCGCTTTAATCAGCCAATTAGAGCACGAATAATCCACTTTTCTAGTAGAAGTAGGCTTTAGTTATATGATTCAGTTGTTGGTATCGATTAGCCTACTTCTAGCGTCTACTTGCAGCAAAACAGGCGCACTCTTATTGGTTGATTGCTCTAATCAGCCAATTAGAGCACGAATAACCCATTTTTTTACTAGAAGTAGGCTTTAGTTATATGATTCAATTGTTGATATCGATTGGCCTACTTCTTACTTATAGTTGCAGCAAAACAAATGCGCTCTTATTGGTTGATTGCTTTAACTATTAATTTCTGCGTAATTTGACATCGCATTGAAAAACTATAAAGGAAAATTAGTCTTAAATTATTGTAAAGAATCGAATGGTGTATTTTCTTTGAAAATTATGGGGTAAGTTTAACATTTAAGACGGCTTTTATTTGTCTTTAGATGCGTTGGTCGTATGGTGGGACAAAATATTTTACATGCTATCAGTATTCGTGAAGCAACAGACGAAGAGGTGTCATGTCTGCTAAGAATGTGCTACATTTGCGACCATGCAATACAAAGAGTTCTTACAGAAGTGTCTGATAATTAATTTTTTTTTGTTTTCTGAAATCTGGACTATACAAATTTTATTTTTTGTTCAATTAGAGTTCATGAAGATAGAATAATAGAATTAGTGTTCTTTTTTGTATTTATTTAAGGAATGATAACTTCCGTTAACTCAGATAATAATATGTAGTTATTATTTAATAAACATTACCCGTTTGTTGTATTCTTTCTTGTGTTTTATTAAGAAAAGATAATAAGGGGATTATTTTATTTGTGTTTACTTTAAAAAATAAACGCCAAAAAAATGGTAAGTCATTCTCTAAATTTGAAAGGTGAAGTAAATCTGACATTACATTTAGAATCTCAAATTTCAGTAAATTTGATATTATTTTTTTTTTTTGTAAATTCGTCCATCAGCAGTATGAGGTAACATTTCAAATAGATCAACTAAAAAAAATGAGCTTTTTAGTCATATTTTAGCGGGACATTGTCAAACTATGGAATTGTTGCTATAGTTGGACCGGTTGTATTTGCAGTTGCAGGGGTTATTTATTTGACGATGACGAAAAGTGCCCCTTATGTGGCGGGGGTAGCAGCAAACGATATACAATGCTCCGAAATTGGCGGGTAGGTACCCAGTAGCATCGACGTTTCATTAATATTCAGTATCAGTTTACTTATTAATCGAATCCTGTAAGAAATGCGCAAGGAAGATAGGGAAATCCGTCTGAAGCTCAAATCCAGGTAAAAATGTAGGGTTTTGTATCTAAAAAAGAAAAAGGGAACCTTTTNAACAGTGAACAAATTAAGTAACTACCAAGTCACCACCTGAAATATAAATAATTTAATACTTGAATAATTTATTCAAAATAACCATTAAGATTTCAAAAATTTAATTATAATGGGAGCTACTGTGTCTGCATCGTTCAAATGTAAATGGTGTGTCCCTGGGATAATGTGTCTTTCAACTTTTTTTGCGGTCTTACTTAATTTCTCTAGCACTATGTCATAGTGCTCTGGATGATCAAATTTATGACCTGGATGACCTCTTATGTTGAGCACTTCACAAATTGTCTTGGAAGCAAATTCCAATATCTGGTCCAAACTCATAAAACCCATTGCACTCGCTTTGAGTCTTACATCTCTCGAGAAATAATAACCTTTCCTGTCTTTTGCCTTTTTCATTCCCCTTCTCATCATTATTTCACAGCCTTCTCTATCCAAATTGTCTTTATAAGCTTCTTGTACTATACTAATCATATCTTCATATTCATAACAAGGATGCTGGTTTTTAGTTAAAGTTTCGTACTTTAAAAATTTGTCTAAAGCATCTCCAGCTTGTTCCACTAATTTGGACATGTTTCTTACACTTGGTGAGGCTATATCAATACAAATATACTTTTCTACCTCTTTGGGAAAAGTTCCTGCATAAAGGAACGATATAGCACCTCCTAAACTATGCCCCATTAGTGTTACTTTGGTCCATTTAAAGTGTTTGACAATACGCCTTACTATATGCAATCCATCCCAAAACAAGTAGTAGCAGTGCCCAGGGGGTAAATGGGAGGACAAACCATGACCAGGTAAATCAATACAGAACACTGAGAAACCACTATCTTTCAATTTGGGGGCTAATTTATCAAATGTACCCGCATTATCTTGCCAACCGTGTATAGCAATTATTGGCTGGACATCCTTTGAGCCCCACCATTTCCCTAAAATTGGTTTAATAATTAGCTAATTTTAAATGTTACTTAGTTGTGCAATGTACCTGAAATATGGCCCCAAGGCACTGGAATTGTGATCTCTTCGAAGTCATCATGTAGTCCATCTATTAAAATCAATTATTCAAGTGAATAAAAAAATAATTGATTATAATACAAAATTACCTTTGTAACCATTCATCTTCTTGACAATAAAAAAATACTGAATCAATAATAATTTTGCTACTTGACTTCAATGAAAAGACTGAACCATAACCACTAACTATACACTTTTAATGTTTTTACGGTTTATTGCGCTGATCAATACGGTATTTTCATGGTCATTTTATGTACGTATTGTATGATTTATTAATCATAATTACAAATTTTGTAATTATAATCACTAAGTAGATACCGTATATTGGGTATAACTTGAAAGACTGGAAATGACTACAATGGAGTGCAATTATTCTTTGCCACAATGTATTCATTTACGTAATTTATTATTATTGTATGACGCGATATTTATAATCTAATCATTTACAATACACATGATTGAAGTTATAAAACGGTCTAAAACTCTAAAGTATTTTAAAACATTTTATCATTGCATAACGCATATAAGATAAAATGTGTTTTTTTAAACACATGTTATGTTTTAAAAGACCCGCCACGAAAAGTCACTAACATATTACCATAAAAGCTGCGTTCAAAAATACACCATAAAACTGAAAAAGTTATGCAGGGGAAAACCCGACAATTACTTAGACTTCTTGACTATATGAGTCAAAACATTAAGCGTTAAGAAATTCCCCGAAATTATTTAAGTTATCTTATGCTTTATGAACATTTATTTCAATCGAAAAGAAAAAATAGTAGTACGGCAAGTATTAGTTACTACTTTATTTCAAAATAATTATCATATCTAAGAAATAAAGTCATGAAAGCGAATTAGTTAGTACCATGACTTGTACAATAAAATTACATTATTTTATTTTACCATAGATTGTTTTCCTCGTTGTAGTTATGAACGCACCCATACAATAAATAGTTAATTTAACTTTTTTAAGTTGTCGATATTGACTATCTATCATTGGCTAGTGTTTACACCCCTCTGTTGAATAATATTTGATAAATGTGTGTTTTTCAACTATAAAAAGATAAAGCCGAAGAATTAGTGTATATTTTGAAGACATTTAATCAATTTGATCCATTACTGTTACAGTTTACCTTAAATTATCCACTTACGGGTTGTAATTTAATTTGATTTGGATTTAGGTTATAGGTTCAATTTACAGCAATGGAAATTCCGGTTATGGAAAGTTCCTACGTACCCTACGCAAATTTTAATTTTGAAAATACCAATTTAGAATTGGCACGTTCACAGTGGCCCAACTACGACGACCAGCATTATTTACGAGGCTGCAAATGGTCTCCTGATGGAACCTGTCTTCTTACTGTTGTACGAGGGGCAGGAATGCACGTAATGGAACTGCCCCCAGATTTGTATACAGGAGATACCATTCTTACAAGTCGACCTGTAGTTCCTTTGATTCCAGCTGTAAGTGTGCCTGAAAGCGGTCTTATATACGACTATTGTTGGTATCCGGGTATGAATAGTGCTAATCCCGCAACTTGCTGGTATGTTTTCAATATTTAAACATGACACATCTATATAAATATTGTATTTTTGTATTAGCTGGCTTGCTAGTGGACATGAAGGCCCAATCCACCTGTGGGATGCTTTCACAGGCGATTTAAGATGCTCATATCGAGGATACAATAACGTTGATGAATTGGAAGCAGCTATAAGTGTAACTTTTTCAGCTGACGGTCAGAATATATTTTGTGGCTATAAGAAGAATGTTAAAATTTTTAGCACTAGTCGTCCAGGTCGAGAGTACTTTGAATATCCCATACAGCACCAGGCCTCCTGTTTAACAGCTAGTTTAGCTCAACCTGGCATAGTTGCCATAGGTATGCAACAATAACTATTACTTTAAAGTCTATAATAATGTTTTTCTGAATTAACATTAACATTATAGAATTATTTAGTCTGCTTTCAAATAATTCATTTAAATGTTCATTAACTTTATAGCATTGTACACCTTAAATGTTGTAATTAACAAGTGGGGGGTTGATAAACAATTCTGTTACATGTTTATTGATTTTTAGGGACATGGAAGAATACAATTGAACTGGTGAGTCAATGCGATGGTACATTCCGACATTTGTGCAAATTGTCAGGTCATAAAGGGGGCATTACGACGATGGCGTTTTCGTTAGATGGATGTCGTTTGTATAGCGGCGCACGCAAGGACAACGAAATAATTTGCTGGGATCTCCGAGTAAGAAAATAACACTTCATCGAATTTCCACAAATAATTAAAGGAAATTGTTTTACTTTTCCGATATAAATTCTTGGTAAACTAATTCGGACTATTTTACAGGTGCCTGGTCGACCGATGTTTTGCTTGACGCGGGCAAGTAATACAAACCAAAAGATTACCATCGACTTGTCGAGAGATAACAAATGGTTGGTCAGTGGAGGCTCAGACGGGAAGGTTCAGGTGTGGGACGTTTCGCAAAATATAGCCCCTTCAGTGCATTACGAGGTAAGTAGTATCAGTTCTGGCGATTCAATTAATTTTTTCCTGACTTGTTTATTTTTTTTTCTTTCGAAGAGGTGCCAGCACGAGAAACTGAATAGAAGCTGTTTAATTGTACAAGTTTCTTTAGTTTTGCCACTGTTGCTGTCCATTATAACCGGTTTTCGAATTAAAAGTTATTATTGTTTTCGTAGACTTCAAATAGGTCGAATTTTATATCGGATAAATACTTTAAAAAATGAATAACTACTAGTGTTGCAGGCTTTTAGATTTCGCTCTGATCCTTGATTTTTAGTACTTGATAGAGCATTTGGTATTAAAAATTAAAGACAAGGGGAATCCCAAAAGTCTAATAATAATTTGGATACTAGTATGACCACGAAGGCTTACGCAATAAATTTAATAAATATTTGCTACTAATATGTTAAAACGTGGAAATATAATGAAAATTCCGATTTCACTTTTCGACCCAATTACAATAACTTCCTAATGGGAAGTTAACAAGGAGCGAACGGTTAATTTACAAATTCGGAAAAGGTTGTTAAAGGTGTATGTTTGGAGCACGGCGTTGTACGGGTGCGAAATATGGACAGTTGGCGCGGCGGAAAAGAAAAGGTTAGAAGCGTTCGAAATGTGGTGTTATAGGCGGATGATGAGGATATCGTGGGTAGAAAAGGTTAGAAATGAAGAGGTATTGGAAAGAATAGGAGAACAGAGGACTCTATGGAAGTCAATAAA